AATGTTTTGTTCATTATTCGTGTTGGGAATTTATTTTTAAATTAATGTTAATCATTAGGCAACCAGCATTTCTTTTGCATAATCAAGATTGTCACTCTAAATTTTACATAACCAAATTGTCACTCTAAACCGCTGTCTTTTTCAGACAGATGTCACCTGTCTTGTCATTTTTCAATTCATTATTCGAATTCTCAGAATGTTGTTAACAAAAGTTTCATCTTAAAATAAAATTTTAATCAATCACAATTGTTTATCTCCATCATTTACCGGATTAAGAAAATAGAAATTATACTTCAATTACAAACAATTTATTATTTATAGTGATTTACAGTAATTTTATTAAATTATACGAATATTCTCGTTCATTATTGGTTTGAAATAAATATGACAGTGTCCTCCAATGAAAATGCGAGTTACAAACTCTAAATTCTAATTCTGAGCTGACAAATGAGCTAGATACTTTATCTAGACCGTTATTCAGAGGCTACAAACCTATCGATGAAAATATGCATAAAAAATTACTCCTTAGCTCACCAGGTTGGTACAATATCAAATTTATTATAGTGATTTTCTTAGCCGCGTATGGCACAGATCGTTACCCAGTGTTGCCACAAGCTTATTTTTCATCGGGGTAGATTATCTCGAGATAGCGGGGTTAAATTGTTTTACAAAGGGTAGATCTACCCTAAATGGGGTAGCTGTGGCAACACTGCCGCTATCACTAACCCTTTTGCGCGTCTCGCTCTCATTATGGCCGTCTCGCGGCCGTCATTAAGGGCTCCAACCAAGGCCATATAAGCTAAATATCCAAAATGGTTCCAGCAAAAGTTTTTAGTTACGACGCGACGACTGTTGGCGCTGATCGTCAAAATCATATAAAAATGTTTGTAGAGGGATTTTGCTTACCGACAATACGACGTGAGCTACGACCAGGACCAGGACCAATCAGAAGGATCAGTCTTTCTTGGACATTTGCCGTGGAAGTGTGTGTTAATTTCTGTTGTGATAAGTGTGGTTGTGTTTGCAGTTTGATTTTTCGGTTTTGATATTATGTTAAAATTAATTTTGAAGAATTGTATCACCGGTTTTTATTTAATAGTACCTTTTTAGTTCTATGATCTGATATGTTATGATTTGTTAATGTTTGTTTAACAATATTATACCAAAGAGGTTATACTTAATATGTCAATTTGCATAGCATAACTTTTTTATCAATAAACTTAGTAAATTTTCAGACTATTTAATTCCTTTTGTTCCGTTTGTAATTTTATTTTTAAAACATATTATGTGATTGTTTCACATAATATGTTTTAAAAATAAAATTGCAAATAGCGAATAAAAATAATTAAAATACTAAAGTGTATTTTACAATTCCCGCTTGTTCCCCCCGGCCGCGCACCCCTTCGTCTATCCTGTAAATGTCAGCTACAACGAGAGATGGCGCTACGAAAATGGAACCGATTTATTACAAGGAACTTGGGCTTCTTTTTCGTTAGTATATTCTGTGGCTCGAACACACTGACGACCAGGTCGCACCGGCCAGGCCGCTGCTACCTCTAAAACCATTAAATCAAATGATACCGCGCACACTAACGTCCTGGCCGTCCGTTGGTCGTTGCGACCAGTAGGCTGCACTAAAATATTCTAATTTTCTGCCGCTTGTTGCCGGTTTTCTTCCAAATCAATAATTTTTCAGATAAAATCCCTCAAAATCAATGCACAGTATTTTATTTTCTATAAGATATAGTGTTTTAGTGTAGTTTTTGCACACGTGCAGAAAATCCAAAAAATAGTATACAGACTGGATCAAAGGGAAACTTAAATCTATATAGTCCCTTTTTTATCAAGGGTCGATTCTAGTAAAAATTCAAAACATTTTTTATGACATACTGTCATAACTGTATTTATGGTTGATGTGATAGGTACCTGTTATTATACCTTCGAGTTTCGATGTTAAAAAATAAAAAAATAATTTTTAAAGTTTTTCTACAGCCAATTGTTTTTTTTTTATTAAATTATTTTTTTTAGTTGTATTGTAGTCATGTACAAGGAGGACAACTGTATTTTAAATATTATATTTAATTTAACGTTTTTCAAACAGGGTTCATTAGACTATATTTCTACTAGATACATTATTTAAAAAAAAATAAGAGTAAAAGTAACTTAAACATTCATAAAAATAGAAATATTTACTGCTGTAGATTCTCAGTAACAATAAAAAGAGGAATTTATATTGTAAACATTGAAATAACTGGAAGCTAAACTTTCTACCTGCTTATATTTAGAGCCAGTGTCTGACGACTTGTTTTTACGATGGCCCTAATATGTTTACTTCTAAAGTCGATAAGAGCCATCAGTAGAAGTCCTTACCAGTAGAAAAAAGAAACAGAATATCTTCCTTTTTGTCGGTCGCGCGTACACAATGCTTTTTGTTCGGCCTATTTGTTCTGCTTGTTCGTGCGCGCTCGGTTCGTTCGGGCTAAAATGCCAAAGTCTGGACGCACCTTTAGGAACAATACTGTTTTTGTCCTTTATTGATATACTGCTGAAAATCTCACGAGTTACATTTCTCACTCTACACATATTAAATTACATAGACGTAGGATGTAGAATATTCTGTTATGAAACGACTGATGGAATAGCAGGCATCGCGGATTTGAAAAACTTCAGGTTTGGAGATTTTATCTATTTACCACACCAGTATTTATTAACGAAAAATCCAAGAATATTTTACATGCATTATTTAATATTAGAACATTTAATAAGCTCATGAATAGCAACTTCGCTTTTTAGTTTCGGACATTTTAACACGGATCTGTTAACATTTCTGAAACTTAATTCTTTCAGAGACAATATTTTCTAATTGGTAAAACGTAAAAAATCATTAGATCTGACAACTCTGTTGAAACTGGTCGTTCATCTGGCCGCAGCTATAAACGCAATACATCCGGCCAGCCGACGGCCAAGTCGTTGCGACCTGGTCGTCAGTGAGTTAGAGCCCTTCAGGCCGAGTGTCACGGTCTTGAATTTTTACTCATTTAAATTAAAATTTAAAATTACATGTTTATTTATTAATATTATCTGCACAATCTCCTGAACCCGATGGCAAATATTAGAAAAGTTTCCTTATTCACGAACGGGACATTCGCTCCATTAGAACACTACTTATAATGTTTAATATTTAGAACGTTTTTATATTAGTTTATACAAATCATAGCACAATTCAAATTAATAATAGTAGTCGAGCTTTCTACCTCCAAATAGTTACAATTACACAAATATTTGATTGGTGCATATGTCAATAATAGCATTGATGGCACTACAAGCCGAATTAGTAAAGGTAATCTTTTGAATATCCATATGTAATTGAGCCATTGTGTAAAGGGTAAGTGTTTCAATGCGTAATCATGTGTGCCTTGGCGAAGTTGCTGTTGAGTTAATGTAAATATCGAGATTAATAGTAGTTTGGTAACAATGCCGCTTTTATCTTTGTTTGTTTAGAACAAATAAGCTACAAATAGTCATTTAGTATGTACGATCAATATAATATTATACCGTGGGACACAATAGCTGGCACATCAAAACTTTAAATTTCCTGTTCGATATTCTCAGTTTATTTTTTGTCTTAAAAATGTGTTTTATATACAGTGTCGCTAATTTACTTTGACACTAAAGTTATATACAGGATGTCGATAATGGACAAATAAGGATGTTGATAACTCTATATAACTCGATGATAACTCGATATGATATTACCTTTAGATTTATTATTAAATACGGTTAAGTCTGTATAAGATTCTCTATTTCTGTTATAATTTGCGAAATATTGCCAGTTTAATATCTTTATAAGGCGCTTTTACTGCGGATTTTACGTTCACTTACTCATAAGAAAACGACAAAGAGATTTATTAAGCTGACGCGTTTGCATTATTAATTTACGGATCCGTAAAATTAAATGAGCATAAAATTTGTAGAAGACTTACGGAAAAGAGTCGTAGGTTTATAGAACCATAGTTATTTATAACTTTATTTTATTTCTAATTGGATAATAGAGACAAATACTACATAAAAATTTAAGTTCAACAAAGATTTATATTTTCTATTTCTTTTCCCTGCAATTTTCTTATTAAGCCATTTACTGGGAAAACATCCAGTTTGCAGGATCAGATTGAAGCAATTAGATCATTATCAATGGTGAATTGTCAAAAAATCCAGGATTTTTCCAGGAAAGCCCCAAATGGGTGACTTAATCACACCAAAAGATAAATGACTACGGACCATACAATGAAAGTTTCGACTCTAGATGGGAAAATTTGATAGGGGTCAGCGTTATAAGCCTATGACTTTAGGAGGTGGCTTATATTTTCATTTGGGGTTAAATAAGTAGATTTACGCAAATTTAAGGGTTGTGCAATAAAAACATACTTTACAAAGACTTACTCTTATTAGTGGACTACTTTAGTTAATAGGGGGCATTGGTTGAACAAAAAAATACAAAATTTTCAAAGATTATGCCGCCATTATTTGTAGTACTACTTGTCGGCAAGAGTGCAAAATCAATTTTCTTATTTGCCAAAGTAGTTCTACAAACTTGAAAATAATTTCCAGTAATTTCTCATGATCACGCAGACTCTACGGCTAATAATTTCCGAGATGCAGCCGAGAGCTACTCTTAGCGAAAAGCCTGTACATTACAGTGTGAGTCTTAAGTAAGTGGAAATATCAAAATTAAGTTTCCCTTAATTTTGAGATCCACTGGATCTTTTCTGGGTTTTCATTCTTGAAAATTTAATCTACTATCTATGTTGCCATATTATAAAGATATCGTTTTTAACTAAAAATTTAAAAAAAAATCAATCTTAATTTTCTTGCAAAAAAAACCTCAGACATGTTTCTAGGATCGAAATATACTAAAATTATTATTATTATTTGAAAATTGCACTAATTCAAGACTCACCTTGTATATTATGAGCAAAGGAGTTTTTTTAGTTAATACTTACCAAAACTAAACCTTTATAGGCGAAAATTATGGAGTACCATACGCTAATATTGTCAGTACCGCAATGCTCCAACTCCGGTCTTATTTTGGAGTCGTCCGATTCTTCTGGCGGATCCTCTAAAGGAAACATCTCTATTTTTCGATACAGGGGATCGATGATTTGCCACGCCAGCATTATGATTATGTCTATGACTAACAGACCTGACACCATGGAGTAGAGTTTCCAAGGCTGTACTTTTTTCTGTAAAATTAAAATAAATAAAATTAATTGTTTTTTTTTGCTTTAAAGTCCTGTGTCTGTGAAAATTTAGTATACTTTTTGTTCAGTTAAATTTGTTTAGTAAAGATTTTGTTTTATTTCTAGACTACCACGGGAGTGATACAGGGTGCTACAAATTCGAGGTACGAACATAAGTATCTCGGAAACCGTAATAGATACGAAGATGGTTAAATTGGGGCAAATTTGCTCCTTGGGATGTTCACCAAAATGCCATTAAAAAAATTAATAAATAAAGTATAAAAATATGAAGGGTTGCTGAGTTTTTGGAAAAAAAAAAAAAATTTTTGAAAATCAATTTTATTTTCCTGTCGTTACTTTAGAAAATCAAAAAACTAATTGCACATTCTCATATAGCCACTTTATTAGGGCTATCTGACAGTATTTTTAGATTTCAAATTAGCTGATAGTTCGTGGTATACAGAGGGCAACTTAATTTTGTTAAATACCGGACCTGCATTTTTGCAAGTTTTGAAATAACTCCGTCTCCTGAGTACAATATGCCACATTTGATATTTTTTTTTGTTTTTGGTTACTTTAACAATAACATATCTATTTCATTATTATTTAAGTAATTTCATCAAAAAAAAAATATGTTTTTTAAATTATGTAATATGATTATTCATCGCAACAATACTAATCAGCGCTAATTAACATTGAATAAGAAAAAATGATAGAGCCAGATGAAAGGTTCAATTCAATAAATAATATCCAGGTCAGCAATTTAAAAGATATTTATTTTTTAACTTTTTTATTAATGAATTTGAAATCTCATTGCACGATCTAATAATATTCATAATATTAATAGTAGTTATTATAAAATCAACTTCTGGAAAAACTGGTTTCTAATGCTCTACATGTTCAAAAAGGTTACCACCCTCCCTAATGCACAACTCTTATTTATAGTTCTTTGACCATAACTTCTTATACTGCGGAATGTAGTTTGTACTCTTTATTGTAAATGAATTGAAATGTATTGATTTCACTTTTACAAATGACGCCAAGTAATGCCCCCTTAGTTATTGCATTTTCATTTTCCGTATTCAATGTTTTATCCCACGTCACTGTTGAGTTTGAAAGGTTATCTCAATATTGTAACGGTGAATAAATATTAAAAAAAACAGAGCCGGACTTAAAATTAGTTTAAATAAATTATGTTCAAATGTCCGAAACAAAAAAAATATTAAGTGTGGCATATCATTGTACTCAGAAGATCGAGTTCTTCCAAAACCTGAAATAAAAAGTACTAGCTCTAATAAAATGGCTATGAGAATGTGCAATTAGTTTTTTAATTTTCTAAAAAGGAACGATAGGAAAAATTAAAATTAATTCTCAAAAAAACTCAGCAATCCGTGAAATTTTTAAAACTTTTTTGATGTCATCTTGGTGAGCATACTAAAGTGCAACTCTGTCCTGATTTAACCATGTTTGTATTACGGTTACTGAGATACCAATGCGCGTACCTAGAATTTGTAGCACCCTGTATAGGATGTACTGTGTACTTGAATAAACTTGTATTACAAATTTCTAGAAAACTACAATAACCATATAGGATATTTTAGTACACCAATATTTTAGCATGAGATCTCTGATTTTGATTAATTGAAAAGTAGGAAATTAAAAAAAAAATTGGGCATTAATATAATAAAAAATTATGTTTTTTCAGCTAGTTAAATAAGTAATGCACAGGGTGATTCTTAACCTATACGCATAAAGTTGGAAAATTATTGCTAATGACAAATAATGAGTAATAATGAAAAAAAAAGTTAGTAAAATATTTTTATTTACGGAGGTAACAAACTATTTTAAATAAAAACAAAAAACGCAAATTCCATTAAATTGAATGTGCATTTACTGATCAAGTTGATAAATTTTTGTGAAAAAAAACTCAAATTATTTCAGAATTTAAAAATATTTTACTAACATTTTTTTTTCATTATTAATTAGTCATTATTTGTCATCAGCAATAATGTCCCAACTTTATGCGTATAGGTTAAGAATCACCCTGTATAGTTAAATTAAATAGTTATAAAAATTATTAAAAAAAAATTGTCACACTTTTTTTATTTCATTATTTATAGAATGTTTAATAGTTTCTGAATCAATATAAATACTAATATAACTTAAAATTGAAAATTCAGATTCTGTGGTTATAACATTAATACTGGATTAACAGTGCTGACTTACCATCCTGACTTTGGGGTCAGTTTTCGCTTTCGTGCTTAGTCTGTGTACTCTCCAAACTTTGCTGAACATCGCTCCAAAGGACAGCGTGAAGCCCACAGCCATGAGCCAAGCTCTCGCTTGGCACATGATGGGAAACACTACCGGTGAGACGAAATGGCCATCGAGGCCGAGGAAAAAGACGGATATGAAGCAAATTATGATGCCGAAGAGCATGATAGTGTTGCAGACTGGATGCGATGATTGGATCACCCTGAAAAAATATCACAATAAGCAACATAAAATTTGTATTCGCCATTTATAATTTTTCTACGTACGAAAGTGCTAAATATGCCACAGGAACAGAAATCTTAAAAATAAAAGCTTTTTTTATGCTACTGTGTAGAATCCAAACTGAAATTCACTGGTTAGTCCCTTTTTATTCGCAAGCAAATTTGGCTAACCAATAAAAAATTATATTACCTATTTTGTAGATTTTCTTGCAGTGGCGAAATACCCATAGAGAATTTTTTTGGAGAAATAAAAAATGCTTTACTAAATATTTAATACTTTTATATATTCTATATGATCCTGTAATTTACTTAATGCTTAAGGTTTTTATGTTTTTTAATAATTTTTAATATTTTCGTGTATATAATTTCCACATTGTCTTTTAATTAATAATAATGTCTTTAAATCCACATTGTCTTAATTTCCACATTGTCTTAATTAATTAATGTGGAAATTAATATAATTTCCACATTGTCTATTAATAATTCCCACATCAAGGGAAGTAAAATGTTCATAGGTTACGCTTAAAAACGTGTTTATTTTGTCTCTTTATAGCTGATTTTGATATTTATCTGTCAATCATTCAGGACAAAAGAAAACAAATAATTCGGAAAATTACTTGCTTACATTTGAAACGATTTCAGTATAAATCGTAAATGGCCTTGTATTCTCGTTTCTTTATTTCTATTTATACGGGACTGAAACTAATGAACGAAAAAATTAAAAATTAATATACCTACATGGTGGCGCCTCTTATACAACGCAGTGGCTCCAAGTAGAAAATGAAATTTTGGAAGCATATGTAGGTTAATTGAAAGCATTTTATAAAAATATATAGAGTTCTGCAGGGTGTCCCGAAAAAAGTTAGGCATTCAAGTTGTTTTTTTTTGTAGTGGAACACCCAGTGCCGGTTTAAGCAACTGTTCCGCCCGGTGCTAACTGTAACGAGCGCCCCATCCCCTATTAACTTATAAAACAAAATTTCTTTTCTGATAAAGTGTTTTGCAAAAAAAATCTAACCCTGTATAGTTTTTAGTTAACGTCATCAGATAGCTTTTGAAGTATTAAGATAGGAAAGTGACATTTATTTTGCTCTATCTTTAACCGTTTTGCCTACAGAATTTGATAAAGTTTGAAATTCCGATTTTTTAATACCTGTAGCTTGAAAAAGGTTGAATTTTTCAAGAAATCCAAAAATTTATAAATATACAGGGTGTTTCATTTAAAAAAAGTTCTTTTTCTGTGCTACCACTTCTGTATTATGCAACTTTACTACCTCTAAGCTTTGAGGTATACAGAGATGGGGTTAAAATATGGAACAAATTTATTTAAAAAATCAGGTGCTAATTTTCAAAAAATGCTCGGACACGACCATTATATTTTTTTCATTTTTTGCACTAAAAATAAAATATGCAGGGGCTTCAAAAAGTAGATATGGATATGACAAGAAATATTTTTTAATGGCTCACTCTGTATATTGTAATCTAAAATGAAAGATCTTTCTCTTCTGATTTCAAAAATAGGTACCATACAAGCTAAAATTTGGTTCAGCCATTTTAGCGCAATTTTAATTTAAGGTTGTGATAAAATAGCCTAAAATACCGTAAAAAACGAAATGAATAATTATAATATTATGAGGAAGTTATAGCAACTTAGCTTAAAAATTAAAGTAATAATTAAGTAATATTAAGTCAGTAATCGTATTCCCTTTTTAAGTTAAGTTGCAATGTTGACTATCTCACTAATATTTCGTATTTTTAGGGTATTTTATCACTTAACTTAAAATTGCGCTAAAATGGCTGAACCAAATATCAACTTGTATAGTATTCTTGAAATCAGAAAAGAAAAATATTTCATTTTAGATTACAATATACACTAGGGTGGCCCATTAAAAAATATATAAATTTCTAGTCAAATCTACTTTTTGAAGCCCCCTGATATTTCCTTTTGATTGCAAAAAATGCGCCAGAAAAGATTATAATGGACGTGTTACGTGTTTGAGCATTTTTTATTTAAGTAGTTACCTGATTTTTAAATGAATATGTTTAGCCCACCGTTGTACAAGTTTGATAAAAGAAATATTCTCGGAGAAAACTTACTTTACTCTATATTCCGAACTATTCTACACTATCGTACATATCTAGCGAGTTACTTATCTTAGCTACTTATCTGAATTTTTCAAAAATTTTGTAGGTTTTAGTTCCAAGTTACCGCCGATCCGCTCGTCGCGAATACCAACGAATCCGTCATAAGTTCCTAATTCCGTCTCAGCATTTTCAATTTAGTTTAAATACATACCTGTCATTAAAATCCGTTAAAAGATAAAGGGTGGTAAAAGAATTCCCCAGAAAAGCTTGCGAAAACAGGCAAATTCAAAATTACTCGCTGGGAAAACTGTACACATAACCTTAAATTTTTTTAATACAACAGGTGTGTCTAAAGTCTAAATTTTTATATTATACGTTTATGACTTAGCCAGAAGCCAGAAGTGTTTTAAAAGAAGACATGACACTCATGACAGGTGCTAAAGGATTTAGGATTAAAGCAAATTTTATTGGTTAAGAATTTGGCGCCATATTTTAAATATATTTTATAATTTCGAAGAAAAATTAAGTAAATACATACTAACATAATTCACATTACCACAGTTCTCTCAATGTGACACCGCCCTCCTAAGATTTGCCGCCCGGTGCTATAGCACCAAATAGCACCCTTGTAAAATCGGCACTGTGGAACACCCTACAGCGAAAACCACAAGTAAAGAGGCAACAAATAAGTAAAGAACAAGTAAAGAACAGCTACAACCAAAAAGTAAAGAAGCAACAAAGCAATGAGCTTTTTGAATGTCTGGAGTGCGGTAGACAGATAACATCACGTATCGGGCTTTTCAGTCACGGAAAAGCTCATGAAAGAAAACGCCTCGTCAGCGAGTAATGGCAGTAGTAGTAGTAGTATCTTAACTGAGCCTACGCGTCGTATGAGGGGCGCCACCCTGTATGTAGGTAACAGCAGAATTAAAATTATTATTTGAAAATCTGTATCCCAAACAAATATTTTATTTTTTTATATGAGATACCCTACACATAATTTAATTTATAGCTTATAGAAAGAAATTTAAGGCCAATTTTATTAAAGATGTATATTGTAAAGAAAGTGATAAGTATAATATGAAGAAGTAAAAATTGTTAAAAATATAGGGTTTTGATATATTAACGATTTTTAAATAATGGCAGAATAAATTTTAAATTTGAATTAAAACTACCTAAATTTCAATTTACACTGTATAGCATAGCATGCAGCTAAAGTAATTCATTGAAAGACAAACTAAATATAAGTTTCACATTAAAATTTATACCAGGTGCTTCTCCAAAGTGCCTCCCTATAACTTTTTTAATTTTTTCAGATAAAAACATCGAGATTTGGTATATTAGTATATGATATGTAATTAGGATTGATTGATGGTATTCAATAATTGTTTTCGGTCACTTCCTATTTCACCGGAAATAACTACAAGCTTTAATTTTTAAATGGCACCCTCGGTATTTTGTTACTTTATTCGATAGAAAATGACACTCTTTTAATATTTTCGAATATGGTTTATTTGAAATTGCAATATGCGAGTCATAACGACAATTCGAGTCTAAATACTAAATGTGTGGTACCAAATTATTCGTAAAAAATGCTTTTTGATTTGGGTATATTTTCGCCGGTCAGGACAAGACACTAAAACATTAGACGATCAAATATATTTTTCCAAGGCTCCTTGATTAAAAATTAGTGTTCTTAAGGTGCCGATTTCGTAGCGACGCCGACGTGTGGCGTCCGCGGCACGCCGCGCTTTGGTTTGTTTCCCTATAAAGTAATACATTACTTTTCATTGATATAATAAAATACAGGTGTTAGCCACGTACGTTCATAAAACGAACCAGTATACGGCGGGCCGCGGGTGCCAGACGTCGCGGCGCTGGAAATCACACCTTAAAACAGCCATGACATTAGGTTGAAATTTAAAATACAATTTTCTTTTAAGCGAAAATGTCAAATGTTGACATATGATATGTCATTCTATTCAGATTGTCATTTTCTTTCAAATAAAGTAACAAAATACCCAGGGTGATTTATAAATCAAAAATTGTAGTTATTTAAGGTGAAACAGAAAGTGGCCGAAAACAATTGAATACATAAATCGATTCAAATTAATGTCATATACTAACATACCAAATCTCGTTTATTTATCTGAAATAATAAAAAAGTTACAGGAGGTGGGCCACTTTTGAGACGCAGCCGGTATAGGTTGAGGAAGAATATTGAGCATTGGTTAATTTTGGTAACAAGGTTTACTCCCTTATTTTAAAAAGAAATTCCCTGTATATCATTTTGATATTCAATATAGATATAAATATATTCAAAATACTTTAATTAAGCTCTATTTGTGTATGTATATGTGTAATCTGTAGGCAATGTAATGTAATATAGGTAAAATTTATACTAACAATTTTAAAATTGTAGTGGATAATTATAATACTTATTGTTGAATAGATTAAATAAATTAAATTTAAACCTCAAACGAAATAAAGATAAAACCATTAAATTTTTAATTAAATAATTTAATAATAACATTGATAATTTCACTAAAATGAGAAAATTTTTCGATAAGAAACTAATCCGAGGAAGCGAGAAAAACAGTTTCCCAAAGAGCAAAACTGGAAACTTTCTCATAATTTTCAATTTCGAAACTCCATTAAGATCGCTTATCGTTCTGCAGTACTTAATAGAGTTTTAGTAATTAATAAAGGCCGGTAAGAATGAAGTAAAGTAAAACAAAGTTAGGAGGGCAACCTTCTCCTCTCCTGAATTACTAATTTACTTTTCAAATAAAGTTGAGAGATAACAGAGAATTGAAATAGAAAAGAAAAAAATGACTATTATTTTACAAAATTTGAATACACAGTAAATTTTAAAAATTACGTTAAAAATTATTTTCTAGAAAGGTCTAATAAAGAGAATATGTAATTTTAAAGGCTCAATGAAAAAACTAAAGAAGGCTAAATGAAAATACTAATAAAGGCTGAAGACTAAAATGATATCTTACAGGGTGTTTCAGAAAACATGTGCCATCTCTCGTTGGGAGATTCCTCATGTCAAAATAAGATTTATTTTTCATATCAACAAAGGACCGATTCTGCTTTCTTTCGTAGCTAGAGGGTGTTAAAGTTTTAATAATCTTTCGATTTATTATAATTTTCTTCCAAGTACTTGTATTGATTCCAATAAAATTTTGAGGGTAAAAGTTACTATAAATGATACATATTTTAATGTTAAAAGGTGTCCATAAATTCATCAGGGACATGGATATGGATTATCACTAGAATATTTTTCAAAAAAAAAAACATGTGCGCCACTGACTTTTCCTCCTTTGATATCAAAATTGTGTAGACGATTTAATGACAAGTGAAAGTTATCTCTTGATATTTTATCGAATTTGGCCTCCTTGATGAGATAAACGCAATTATATTAATCACAATTAAAATAAAAATAAAATTAATAAATTATATATTTTACCTAATTTATTATTAAATATTATTACTATTAGTTAGTATTCCTATTAATCCAACCTACAGCAATTTCAAATGAAAAAAATAATGGTGTTTAAGATAATTACAAAAGAACTAATTTTAAAAAGTTGTAACATCCTGTAACTCTAAAACTATGCATTTTCATACCAATGTTTATAGGAACGTTTTTCATATTTTTGATAGGAAGTCAATGAGTACTTTTTTAAATCTTTCGCAAGTTAATGATATTAAATATTTTTAAAGGTTGCTATTAGATTTGGATTCAGACAAATTAATAAAATTGCGTTTCTCTCATCAAGGAGACCGAAATCGACAAAATATCAAGAGGCTATTCTGCTAACAAGAAAAAAAAAATCAGTGGCGTACATGCTTTTTTTAGAAAAATGTTCCAGTGATAACCCATATATGCACGTCCCTGGTGAATAAATCAAAATTTCAAAATTTCATTCGAAACGCTAAAAGTACTTTGAAGAAAATTATAATAAATTAAAAAAATATTAAGACTTTAACACCCTGTAGCTACGAAACAAAGCAGAATCGGACCTATGTTGATATGAAAAATAAATCTTATTTTTCCGTGAGGAATCTCCCCACGAAAGATGCCGCATGTTTTTTGAAACACCCTGTATTAATACTGGTGCTAAAGCTCTGACAAATTATATACCGGGTGCGTCTTGAAGGTGGTTCACTCCTATAACTTTTTTATTTTTTTCAGATAAAAAGAACAAAATTTGGTATATTATATATGAAAAAAAATGGGATTCATTGTAGTATTTAATTGTTTTTGATTACTTCCTGTTTCATCAGAAATGACTACAGCTTTTGATTTCTAAATGATACCGTCGGTATTTTTTTACTTTATTTGATAGAAAACGACTCTCTTAATAGAATTACATATCATATGTCAACTTTTGACATTTTCGCTTTAAAAAACATAGTATTTAAATTTTAATCTAGAGCCGTGGCTGTGTTAAAAACACTAATTTTTAATCAAAAAGCCTTGGAAAAAATAGATTTGACTGTCTAATATTCGTGTCTTGTCCTGGACGGTTAAAAAATGCTCAAATGGTACTTTTAATCATATCTCAATTTTTTCAAATGGAATAAGGGTGGCTCATTTGCTCATTTGGAAAAATATTTTTTTACGAATAATTTGGTACCACATACTTGGTATTTCGAGCCAAATTGTCATTATGAACCGCATGTTATAATTTCAAGTAAGCCATATTCAAAAATGTCAAAAGTTGACATAGGATACGGCATTCTATTCAGAGTGTCATATTTTCTATCGAATAATTAATAATAGTAATATAATATAATACAATAATAATAAAAAATACCGAGTTAAAATCTAATCTTTCAGAAATTAGTGTTTTGAGTTTTTTGGGAAATGTTAACTTTAAAGTAGTATTATTTGTTTTAACTTTAGTAGTATAAGTTAAAATTGCACATAAAACAACATTATTATAATAAAAAACATAAATTAAGGTAAAAGTAGGTTTGCGCTAAATCAAAATTATATTCAAATGCAGACAGACTTAAGGAAATAAATCAAACTATAAGTAGGGTGGTCTAGGAATTGATGGATTCTTAACCGTAGGTCTAACAAGATAAATGATTCTTGCCCGTTCACACCCGAAAATTAATGATGATAATTGTCCTACCTAACTCTGGTCAGCCATTTTAAAAAGCGTATTTAATATATCGATAAATCTGTTAATTGTTTTAAACTATTTACTTTCAAATTTACTGTCAATATTATACACTTTAGTGCATTTCTGTATTTTTACTTGCATTTTAATAATAGTACTATTAATATTGTTTATTTTAAAGTTTAGTGGTCTGGTTATTCATATTAAGTTGGCACAAAAATTGGCTTTTTAAATTATAATAAAAGTGTATCATATAGTGCAGAGTTATGAACATTTTAAATAACTAAAATATAAATAAGTAATACGCTACCTTCTATGTTTATTCCATATATTAAATATAATCAGTCCTGTTGCAATAACAATTCCAAGACAGGAAACTGCACACATGCATATAAAAAGAGGTAACGACAACGTCCTGAGGGATTTTCTGATGATAGTCCGATCCTGAGGAACTTTTCCACCTAGAAAAATTAAAATACAATTTATTATAATATATTTACGTTATTTATTTATTCTCTAAATAGAGTGTGTATCCGTTAAATGAAATCATATAAATAACTAGAGAAACGTGTTAAAAAATGTGGGACTAGTCAAAAACTTTCATAAAGGATGTATATGTGTAATGTAACAGTGGCCAATATCAAATTTCTTATTTCAGAAGCAACACCACCCCGCATATAATTTAGATTTTGGAATTTTCAAAAAATTCCAAACATATTTCATGTACATTGTCCTATATATCATGTACATTGTCCTATATATAAAATGAATTGCTGACGGATTAAATAGTGTAGAGTATAGCGCCTACTACCGTTTACTGCGGGGAGATTATAAAAAGTCTATCATTATCGCAAAAAAGAATGCCTACAGTAATTATGTAAATTCATCAAAATCGAAAGCAAAAAGTGCCTGGAAAATTATCAACCTCGAGAGAAATCATCAGGCAAGATCGAGAAACAACTCTGATATAAAAGCTACGAGCTTCAACGAGTATTTTCTGGAAATAGCATCTAAAATTGTAAGCGAATTGTCCATTGATCAAAATATTCAGAACGAATTGATTGGAAATATATTAATGAACAACAGCACTTTTGTTTTTTTTTGCCAATAGACGGGCGAGAGATACGGAATGCTGTTAATGCGCTGAAAGATTCGGCTTCATATGATATTTATGATATAAGTAGCAATATTTTGAAAAGCATTTCAAATGAAATTATCCAGCCTATGGTTCATCTTTTTAACATTTGTGTTGAAAAGGGAATTTTCCCAATCTTTTAAATTATCTAGAGTGGTTCCAATTTTTAAAAAAGGAGACGAGGATTCAGTGTCGGACTATCGCCCCATATCGATTGTTCCCGTTTTTGGCAAAATATTTGAAAAAATTAATAAAGTTAGATTAATGGATTTTTCGAGAGAAACGATTTGCTCGACTTTTCACAGTTCGCCTTCCAGGAGGGGCGATCTGCGGTTCAGGCTGTTGGTAGGGTTGTGTCGGACATAGTCGAGGGCTTTGAAAAGGGAGAGCTGGTAAATCTAATGCTATGCGATCTCACTAAGGCGTTCGACTGTGTATCGCATGCGATCCTGATTGACAAGTTGTACAGATATGGTGTTCGAGGTGTTGGACTGCAATTGCTTAAGTCATATCTCGACGGGCGTAGACAGTGCGTGGACTTTGGCAATGCGGTTTCTGAAGTAGGTTTGATGGAGAGTGATGTGCCACAGGGATCTGTACTGGGACCACTGCTCTTTATTATTTATATTAATGACCTTTTTAATTACCTTATACCAAATAAGTGTCGAGCGTTTGCAGATGACAGTTCAATGTCTTGTAGAAATAAAAATATGGATCTGCTAGTGACTGAAAGCGAAAGGTTGATGAAACGTGCGGAGACTTGGTTCACGCATAATTGCTTGAAACTGAATCGCGATAAAACGCAGAACATATTTTTTCCTCCAGATGGTCTAAGGATATAGAAATGAATAGTGCTAAACTATTGGGTATTACACTGGATAGTACACTCAGTTGGGTACCACATATTGAAAATCTTAAACGCAAACTTTCGTCGGTGGTATACTTGATGCGTAAACTTAAAGCGTTAATCTGCCAGGAGTCTTTGTTGAATTCGTACTAAGCCTTGTTTCATTCCCATATGTCCTATGGAGTGGCTTTGTGGGGGAACTCGACAAATTCTATTCAAATATTTCGGTTGCAAAAAAGGGTAATTAGAATATTATGTGGTGTTGGCTATCGAGATACATGTAAGCCGCACTTTATTAGACTGAATATATTTACACTGCCTGCTCTGTATATATTAAATCAACTTTTGGAAGTTCATAAAAGTAAATTTTATCTGACAGTTAACTCTGACTCATAATTATGGAACAAGATCTGCCAATCTAATACGGACCAATTTCTATAGACTGGATAAATCAGCTAGAAACTCTATACGCATTGATTTATACAACCGTCTTCCAATGGAATTAAAAACTCTATGTTTTAATAAATTTAAATATAAGCTTAAGACATTTTTAGAGAAATCTGGAATTTATAGCGTGGATGAGTTTATAAAGCAGGTAGATGGGAACTTAGATTTAATTTGATTTATTTGTACAAAAATTCTTAAATTGTTGTTTGTCTTGTATGTATTTAATGTAACACACTTTGCCTCCGTGTATTGTTTTTTTTTCTAACTTTTAGTATTTTTATGAAATTCTTATCTGTTTGTTATTTACTCTGACCTGCTACAATTATACTTTGTATAAATACGTAGTCAATAAAGATTTATTTATTTATTTATTATCTATCTACAACTGATCAGAAATATTAAGTAGTCTTAGAAAGTTGTTGTCTCACTGCAAGTCAGTAGTTGTCAGTGTTATTGTATATTGAATGGGAGGTTAATCACCGCAAGCTCATAGATCTATTTTGTCTCTCTTTCTTGAGTTATAACTCATCAGTATCAGGGCTTTGAGAAAAGCCAATATCTGAGACGGATTTACAGAAGTTAGTTCTCCATCTCCGATATCAGTCGTACCAAACACTGACGTGCTGACACAGAGAGGAGGAGGACTGCTTTCTTTACCTAATTTGTTCAGCTTCTATATTCATTTATTTTAATTTTGCATTTCATTATACTTAGGTATTAGTTTATCCCAAAGGCCTCATTTCTGTAAGCTTGGTGCATTTCAGTTGATTTCAAAAAATTCCGACCGCAGCACTGTATACGGCAGAAATCAGAAATTTTCGCTATGTGTTTCACGCCGCGCGCTGTCCCGGTTACAGTTCATGGTCATCGCATTAAAATAATATTGAAATCGTGGCTTTGTCATAATATTTAAGTATTTTAGTTTTTTGCTAGTGCAGTTATTAAAACTATAAAACACTTAACGCTGTGTCGGGTAGTAAAAAATAAGTGAAAGAAAATCCGAACTAGGCATCCTATTGTGTGGTGACAATTTCAAATGTTAATAAAATTGCCGAAAAAATGTTAACGCGTAAAGGAGAGCGTAATTAAGGAGTTGTTTGGTGCAATAACATTCAATAACTCAACTATCCCGGATATTCAACTCTCCCGAAACAACATTTTATAGCTTCACGGTTTCTCACACCAATTTGACCAAAAGCAAAAATGGATTCAAGCAGTTCGACGAAACAACTGAGTAAACAAAGTGCTCGTTACATAATCAACAAATTAAATAGACATATTATGTACCCAGAATATTATGTCTAAAATACATTGTAATAAGTCTGAAAAATACAAAGAGAAGAAGAATCAAAATGATTAAAATTAACAAGATACAAATTTGACATTCAAACGAGCACTTCGAAAACCACCCCAAAAATTAAAATATTCCAATGCAGCTATGCAAATAGGTCTCGGCATTTATTCATCTTTCGCAATATACCTGCGTATTTTAATTTTTGCCGCCGCTAAACGGTCCCTTCTTTACCGGCATTAAACGATACTAAATAAAGGGCGCCCCCAAATTAAACCAAAGAAAATTCGAAATCATATTTCTTAGTTAGTTGAGGAGCAGAATTTAATAAACAAGAAGAGAGCAGAACGAATACCGCGAATTTTAATTATCCGACCGAGAGATGTCCTTAATTGCACGTCATGTTAAGCCCACAACATGCTCTGGGAAAATTAATGGAGAGAGAACGTATTTGCATAGAAATTCTCTCAAACTTGAACTAAATAATATTTTGTAAATAAATAGAAGAAAAATTAATTTATTCGCTTTTGTTTGAAAGTAGTGGTGTATAATTACAATACAATTACAATAATAATGAGGGAAGTCTAAATATGCAAAACGTGTATTTTGTATTACACATATTTTTAACATATTTGTCTTTTTTTTGTACATTAGAATGTTCAACACTTGAGGGAAAAATATAGTGGAATAGTTCAGCTAGCGTTCTACTAGAAGACTTCAGTTCTACTGCTATATGTTCTACGTCTGTGTGTTTTGTGTCTACAGAGATTCAATTCTACTTATTTTCAAGCCATATAAGTTCACCACTATGAAGTTATACTCAGATAAGACTTAAGTGTGGAAGCTCAAGTTGCTGTTTATTTTTATTATTTTAAGATAAGAGTTTTCTTTGAAAAACACTACATTTTACATCATATGTTGCTATAAGTCAGAAATCGAAAAAACAAATAAATTTATATGAAAAGATATTGACTGAGTTAAAGTTACATTTGTTTACAATTTCTATGATATTTTGCATGAAAATATTAATATAACAGTGATATATTTTCGGGAAGCGGTCAGTTCTAAATTAAACTGATTGTATAACTATTGTATTTGTATGAAGAAATATACATTTCTGCAGTTTTTTACGTAAAAAAAGGCCTCTTCGTAAGAATAATTAATCGATGTAAGTTATCAATACAAGTCATTATTAACAAAAAATAAATATGTTGAGTAGACAGATATTTGACTTGAGATAGTTATTTGAAAGAAATGATAAATCTAGGAACTTTTTTTTATAAATTAATCATAATTTTCTCTAGAAAAAATTATGATGAAATAGTTTCTGTTGAATCTTTGGCGCAAAAACATTTCAAATTTATAATTTCACTGTAATAATTATATAGTTAACATGTTCAATTTTTGTTAATGATGACATGTATTGATTGATTATTTCGATTCCAAATATCCCGAGAACCATCATTAGTCGTAGCATTTTTATCAAGAGACATTTTTGACGTAAAAAACGGCGTAAATGTATACAGACCGGACCACCGTAGTAGTAACATAGGCAGAACCGGACGAATTAGCGTATACCCGTCCACCGGATAAAAAGCAGGCGAAAAAATGCGATAAAATAAAAATAGGTAGATATGACTTAAATCGTTCGACGGCAGAAGTTTGTTTTTAAAAATTTATTTATTTTCAAAAACTTAGAAGCTAGTGTACATTACAACAACAGAACAAGGAATGATTTAAT